AGGGAAGGGGCTTCCCTTCGACTCGATTACGACGTTGCTGTCGCGCTGAGGAGGTCCCTGGGAAAGGGGGGAGCTTCGACGAGCCCAGGGAAAGGGGGGAGGCAGCAAAAGGGGGTGACAGAGACGACGACCAACGAATAACGGAGATGACGACTTGAACGAACAAGCCCCTCACACACACCGACAGGGTCGGCGGATTTGTCGGCCTCTCTCTCTCTATATATCTCTCTCTCTCTCTTCCTCGCTATCTCCTTCTCTCTCTCTCTCTTTGCTGTCCTCCTGCCGTTGTCTGAGGTTCATATATTGGGCCGCTGGAGTCGCAAGGGAATGTTCTTTGTCGGAAGCGGTGAGAACGATCCCGCTCGCACGCGGAGGGGACGCGCGAACGAGAATGGAGAGACAAACGCAAAGAGGAAGCCGGGCGCATGGAAGATAGAGGAGGAGGAGGAGGAGGAGGAGGAGGAACGGAAAGGAGGCGGGCGATGAGGAGGTGGATGCGGAGGAAGAGGTGGAAGAATAGAAGGAGGAGGAGGGGGAGAAGGAGGATGATGAGGATAAGGAGGAGGAAGAGGAGGAGGAGGACGACGAGGAGAACGAGGGGGAGGAAAACGAGGAGGAGGAGGACGAGGAGAAAAATGAGGAGGAGGAAAAGGAGGAGGAAGGAGAGAGGAGGAGGAGGAGGGCGGAGGAGGAGGAGGAGGACGAGGGGAGGGGGAGAGGAGGAGGAGAGGAGGAGAGGAGGATGAGTGGGGAGGGAGGAGGGAGGAGGAGGAGGGAGGAGGAGGGGGAGGAGGAGGAGGAGAGTAGGGGAATGAGGGGAGGAGGAGGAGGAGAGGAGGAGGAAAAGGAGGAGGGGAGGAGGCGGAGGAGGAAGAGGAGGAGGAGAGGAGGAGGAGGAAAAGGAGGAGGAGGAGGAGGAGGAAAAGGAGGAGGAGGAGGAGGAGAAAGAATAGGAGGAGAAGGAGGAGGAAGAGGAGGAGCAGGAGGAGGAGTTGGAGGACGAGGTGGAGGACGAAAAGGTGGAGGAGGAGGTGGAGGAGGATATGCAGGCCGAAAAACGTTCCGGGGTTTTTTATGAGAGGAGGAGATCCAGGCTCGCCTGAGACAAGGAGAATGAGTGCAGCGTGAGCACCCGCTTTCCCAGGCCGCGGTCCCATGCGCGGCCTTTGTGTACAACAGCATTGACAGCGCGCGCGGCTCCGGGTCTGGGTGGCTGCCTTCCCGCGTCCTGCGATTTTCTGGCGCGGCCTCCAGGTTATCATTGCTTTCCTTCGCCCTTCGGTGCCCCATGGCTCTGCCTGGCCGACAAGGCCAAGGACGACACAAACGCCGCGCTGGGGAGGTTCCTGAAGCGCGGCATGCAATTTTGCGGCCTGGCGCATCGCCCTTGTCCAGGTCGCAAGACATCCCAAAACAGTAAGGGGACACACCCCCGAGATGCCCCTGGAGGGGTCTCGGAGGCCCACCAGGTCCCCCGCGGACGAGGAATGACATCCTCGGCGTTTAGGAACCGCACGCACTCCACGTCCAGCGGATCAGCTGGCTGGCAGGAGGAGGAAGAGGAGGAGGAGGAGGCGGAGGAGGAGGAGGACGAGAAGGAGGGGGAGGGGGAGGAGGAGGAGGAGGAGGAGGAGGAGGAGGAGGAGGAGGGGGAGGAGGAAGAGGCGGAGGAGGAGGAGGAGGAGGAGGAGAGGAGGAGGAGGAGGAAGACGAGGACGAGGAGGGGGAGGAGGAATAATAGTATTAATAATAATGATAATACTAATAATACGACGACGGCACATTTTTATAATCATAATAATAAGAAGCATGACACGCATACTAAGCATAAACATAATACGAAGACAACTAATACGAAGAAGCATCGTCAGAAGAAGAAAACGAACACTAATAGTACGAAGAAGCAGCATAAAACCATCAAGAAGAGGTGGATGATGAGGAGGAGGAGGACGCGGCAAAAGGACGACACTGAGGAAAAGGAGGAGCAGGAGGATCACGCTGAACAAGAGGAGGGGGAGGGGGAGGCGGAGGCGGAGGCGGAGGCGGAGGGGGAGGGGGGGGGGAGGGGGAGGGGGAGGAGAGGGGACGAGGGGAGAGGACGAGAGGAGGAGGCGGCGGAGGCGGAGGAGGGGAGGAGGAGGAGGGAAGAGGGGAGGAGGGGCGGATGAGGGAGGGGAGGGGGGGGCTGGCCGAGGAGGATGCAGAGGAGGTAGAGGGAGAGGAGGAGGGGGGCGGAGGAGGGGAGGAGACTAGGAGGAGGGAGGAGGGAGGAGGAGGAGGAGGCCAGCGAGGAGGCGGAGGAGGAGGAGGGGGGAGGAGGGGGAGGAACGGCGAAACGGAGGGCCCGGGATGAAAGTGACGTAAGGACGAAGGTGGAACAGGGGAACATGGGAAAACGATGAAAAGAGGAGGGGGAGGGCGAGGGGGAGAGGAAGGGGGAGGAGGAAGGGGTGGAGGAGGGGAGGATGAAGAGGATGAAGAGGAAGAGGAGGAGGGGAGG